TGCTTTAACTCCTTCTTAGACTTCCGGCTGCCACAATTCTTGTTCCCTTTCTTCACCTCAGTTCCTTCCCAAGCTCTTGAGTTGAAGTACTGGAGATATTTTTAACATAGTTGAATAATTTTGTTTGTTAAAAGGCCTTTGACCATTACATGTTGCATAGGTAACTTCCAGGGGCAGTGGAAATCTCCTTAGTCTTTTGTCAGTGGTTTTGCTCTCTTAAAACAAACACTCCTATCCACCCACCCCCAAAAAGCAAATTTCAGCAAAATAATCCTTGGTGTCATTTTCAGGTTTTTTTTTTCATGTCGTATTCCCAATATTCATTTTTCTATAAAGACTGAACTTAATCAAATATATAGTCAATGTGAAAGAGCCTGGTTTGGTGTCTTTTTGTATCTTTTACTGAATCTGGTCCCAGAACTACTCTAGCATATAGTACTCATGATCTGGCAACTTGACTGATATTTGGCCTTGGGTTATCAGAAATAAATTATGATTTGTCCTAAGCCGTAAAGCTTGCCTCCAGATATCAAACTGGGTCTATTGTAGAAAGGGGACTAAGACTTAAGTTCAGACCTACTTGTCCTCCCGCAATCTGTATTTTATTTGCACACTTGCAGCTATTAGCTAGTTTTACAAGTACATACTGAAAGCACCAGTGAACATTTACTGATGTATTTCAAAAATCTGTGAAACGTCAAAAGCCTCTGCTGCAGGAACTATCCATACATGTTAGTGACACATTTCCTTGCAATGTGAAGATAAGAATTACCTACTGGATCAGACCAGTAGTCCAGGTAGGCCAGTATCCTCTATTTGACCGTGTGTAGCCTCAGTTGCTTCAGAGGAAGGTGCAAGAAACTCCACAGTAGGTAGATGTGACATAATCTGCCCCCTCAAATAAAAGTCTCATTTTAGACGGTAATGGTTAGAGTTTGGCTTAAGCCCTGAAGCATGAGGGTTTTTTTCTCCCTTCCAAAGCTCTCATTTTATTACTAGCTGTTATAACTCTGGACATTTAGCCCTGTTTGAAAATCTGCATATTACATCTTTAGGACAAAGACACAGAAACAATTGACTAAATTTTTCCCTGGTGCATCTACAGTTAAATACATGGAGTCACTTTAGGGATGAATTTGGGCCACTGTGTTTCCCATAAACAATTACAGGTAAATTGGTAGCTTAGTGGGTGGGGTGGGGTGAGGGGGGAAGAATTCTGACTGCCTTGTCAAGTCAGAAAATTTTAGCAAGTGTTAAGCAAATGTTTCACAGATAACTGTTTCGTCTACCAATAAACTTCAGCTACATGTCATTCTGTGATTCTTTTTATTGTCATCCTTTGACATGATGAATACTTACAGCAGTATGTAAAACAAAAAAGATACAGTTAAGTCTCTCGTTTAATTCTTGGCATCACTGCATAGCAGTCACAGAATTTTCACACAATCTGTTACTTCCTTTCAGCTTGTTCTACATGACGTACACACACACATATGAGCAGAATCCTAGTCCAATTGAAGTCAATGGAAGCTGATTTCGCTGGCACCAGGATTTAGCTCATATGGTTGTATTAGGTATGTGTATGGCTATGTAATACATTTTACAATAAACATGACATTTCTATACAATTTTGTGTTCAAAGATTAACAGAATATACTGTACATCCATGTCAAACTTTTTATGCTCTGCATGTAAAAGTTTGTGTACCTAAAATATAGGATGGATTATAGCAATAAATGATTGTTTGCACCAACGGGAAAGTAAAACGTACATATTCTTGCAGTACAGCTTGCCTTTTTTTTCTTTCTTTTTTTTTTGTATTTGCATGCTTGGTTACTTCAGATTTAATCTTCTACTGTAAAAACAAAATTAACATAAGACTAACCTTTATGCATAATTACCAATGAATTACAAGTACTGATCTTCTGTGACACAAGTCAGGTCAAAGGGACCATCTTATACCCAGCTCAGTTCAGTGACACAGACTGGCTATCAGCAGGGAATAAATTGTGGTTGGTATGCTGACTGACTGGCCTGATGAAAGTCATCACTGCTACAGCTTGTGTGGTGTTCAGCCATGACTGGGAGCGCTGCTCCCATGAGAGCTGTTGGGCTTTTTTTCTTGGTTTTAGCTGACTTAGACCGTGGAGGCTACTAACACAAGGGCTAGTGAAGTCTCTGCGATGCAATGTGACAGATGGTCCATTTCATTTAGTGTGCTGCTAGTGGTGTAAATGGAATTTCTTTCATACAACTTTACAATATAGACTTAATGAACTGCACAAGTTAAAACAATCATAGAAAGAAAAGAGCCAGTAGGACATCTATTCTACTTGCTGTATTAAATCAAATAGGCCCCTTTTTGGTTGGTTTGAACCTTGCTTGGTAATTGTTTTGGGTAGGTGTTGTTTGAAGAAAGATGTGCAGTGCAATCGTAGCTTGTTTAGCGCATATTCTGTCACTTCTCCTTTTGTTGTGCTGCATGAGAATGCTGACCAATCCTGCATGAGAATGCTGACCAATCTCGCTGTGTTTCGGGGCTTGGGAACCTTATGCTATAGCCTTTTCAATGCTCATTGTAGGCTGTCTCCTTCATCTAAATCATGTTTTATCTGAAGCCTTGAGGTGCTCCACAATCCACAGTAAGTCCGATGGAAAGCCAGCTCATATAATTTTTGTCCAGTCACCAACTCTGGTGACATGGATTCTAAATCTACACTCTTTCTTCAACCATGTTGTGCATAGTGGCCTACATTCTTGTGTTTTGCTAATGAGTCCTTTGGCTGCTACTGTAACTTGTCTACTTTTCGTGCATTTGTTTTGTTTAAAATAGGAAGAATGTCTTGGGCTAACACAGTGACCTGCCACAATGTCTGTCTGTCTGTCTCTCATGTTTACTTCCGTATTGCTTTCCTTTCTCTTTCATTAGTGGTCTAAATGCTGATCCGCTGTTGCTATTTAAAGCTGTGATATAGCAAAAAGCATGCTTATATGCTTTATGAATCAAGGCTAATAGTCTAATTAAACTATTTTCCTTGCTTTAATTAATTTTTAATTACAGCATTCACATCGATGGCAGTACATAATCGTTCCTTGAAGAAAACAAATGTGGGTTTTAACCAAGATAAGTGAGATATATTTTTGTGTAGCAGTATGCTTGAGAGCTCTTTTCAGTATGTGCTTCTAAAAAGCGAACCCAACTGGAAAACTCTTGAACTTGAGCTGTGCAGCCCCAACAGGCCCTCTTAGAAGAAGTAAGAATTCATGTACATAGTCTTCTATAAAGTGTCAAATGCAGCTAATGGGACAAAAGTCCATATCCTCCTCTTCTGTGCAAATGTTTATTTTTTCCCTACCTTTCCATTCTATTGCCCCATTCCCAGCCTGGGGTTTTACAAGTATTTCTGTGCTCCAAACAAGACAATATATAACACGTGAATCAACAGTGTATATTTAGTTGCTGGTGGTGTTGAACTGAGTGCATCAAGTGCAGTCAGACGTCTTCCATGGGGAAAATAAATGGTGGAACTCACCCAGAATCCCTGCTTTTCAGCGCAGAGCCCAAAACTGTCTGGTTGGCAGGCACCTGCTCCCAGGGCTCACTTCACAGCCCTCTTTTGATGTGAACCGGTCTGGAGCACCTGAGGCAAACTGGCTTAGATAGACCATGGCTAGTATAATTCCTTTGATTTACATGTCATTTAGGTAGATGCTGAAGCCAGCCTGAATTTCTTTCAAGTATTGTTTCACTAGTAAAGGTTATTGTTTGCAACTTTGCAGGTGTGTGCATTTCAGTTTCATGAAAAGAAGTCCTCATCTATTTTTAAGAGCAGCTCTTTCAGTTTAGAGTAGTTAGGAACTTTAACTTTATAAGGGTTGACATGAATAACAGATTTTAGGTGCTAATAACAAAAGTCCAGATTGTACTGTGGACATCATAGCAGGCCTCTGACTGTGCAAAGATCTGCCCCAGGATCTATTTTCTACAAACTCCTCAGAACAGCAAATTAAAGTATGAAATGCCACAATGATCTGACTATCTCTACTAGCATGTAGCAACAGAAACAGCTGGCAACATACAATATTGAATAGACTTGTTTCATTCAAAGCTATAGAACAGCTTTTAAAAAAATGTATCTTCTAAAGTGCTGTTTATCCTTCAAGGGCTCTGTGTTGTAAGTAACACATCCTGACTTATTCTAAACCTATGGAGTATCAGGAGGAAAAATAGGTCCTAAAAGAATGCAGCAGTACAGGCTAACAAACAATAGAAGGGGCATTCATTTCGATCACGGAAAAGGCAACAATTGTGTTTTGGAAGGAAGGGAACATACTCTTGTTCCACTACTTAAGCAGTGGTTCCTCCCTCCCTGAATTGCAGGCACTGTTAGTAAGATCAGACAGCAAACTGCAATGTGATGTGTGTCCTGCTTGGAAGGTTTGAGGGAAAAAAATGTTCTCATTGTCCATTATCTGCTGCCACACAATATAAAATGATAGGAGAGGACCAAGCTATCTGGCCCAACATGCTTCATCTTTCCAGTGTTCTCTAAATTTCACCTTTATACTTCACTATGTGCTTCAGTCCCCTTCTCCACCAAATGATTCTACACATATATTACTCATTACATGCATAGCCTTCTTTACTAAAACTTAGATTATGCTCTGATTGGATCTCTTATGAGTATGAAAATTTTACCTCTAACAACATCATTAAGCCTTTTTATAATTAAAATATCCCTTATTACCTTGCACTTTTACACCAAGAGTAAACACATCATTTTCAAACGTTCTCTATAAACTGTGTTGGCCTCTGTTGCTCTCTCTCCAAGGCAATCATGTCACACAATACAATTGTACTACTATGGAGCCTGAAATGGAGGACATCTTTCTAACAGAAAACTCTTTAAATTAAATTGGTTTTAGTGTGTTACTCTAATAGCAAGTGCAATGCTGTTACATAACTATTTTTTCTACTCAAAATTGTGTCAAACACCTGACTAACACGAGTTAGTGCCCCAGGTCGAAGTCTCATCTGACTGGAGGAACTTAAGGAACAGGTTCCAATGAATGTCTCAACAGAGGATGTTTATGGGGTAGGCTACAATGCATATCTTTCAAAATATTGGAAGCGAGAAGGGGAAGCTCCCACATAACTACTTCCAGTAATAGTTAAGCAGGAACTTACTAGATTGGCTACAACGTATTTTCACTCATTAACTGAGATTTAAAAATGATAAAATCTGGGTAAAGTATTTTTATTAAGATGGGGGAAAATACCTAAAAACTTAGCTAAAGACTAAAAAATAAATAAATAAAAAGTGACATTACAGTTCTGCATCATTTGAGAAAGCAAATGGAATCTAGAACTGCCAGGATGCCAGGATCAAAACCAGCATCCAACCCTCACTTGGGTGTGTCTGGCATTGTAGACTACTCTGCTACTTAATAAAAATTAAAACTCATGATTATATGTTTACCAGCTTGAACTGTAAAATAGATTGTGTAATATTGCTGTGGTTTAAAAAAAAATATCTTCAGGCTTTGTGAAGCAGCTGATTAGACTGAGTGTGCACTATGCCCTGGATTAAACAATATGAATTCATATGGAATGCATGTGAAGTTTCCAGAAAATGCCCTGACAGATTTCATTCTTTTATGACCTCTGCTGGAAGGCTGAAAATGAAAAGATATTTCAGATGCTATGATTTGAACAGCTAGCAGTGAAGGATGCTAAAAGTTAAGGCCTTTATCTGCAAACAATAGTGTATTAATAAACTCTTTACCATATTTACAAATGCTTTCTCTTGTATTAAAACTAACAGTATTCTGTTCACAGTGCCATTGTTTATACAGGTAGCAATCCCATAATACTTCAGTATTTTGGCATGGGAATCAGTAGCGCTTTGTATTTACAGAAAATGTACACATGGATATAAACATGTCATTGAAACAGTCATCAAAAAGATAGATCTGATAATGTTGCAAAGGTTTAGACTGTACAACACCTTCCCTTTCATTTGCTAGGGACTGCTGTTCCCTACAGTGAGAAGATATCCGTCTCTTATCTAAAGTGGCATAAAAATGATTAACCAAATGAGCCTTGTCTCACTTGAGTTGTATGTACATAGAGTTACCTCAGTCCAAGGTTTCTTGATCTGTTGTCTAGTGCACAGAATACAAAAGTTAAAAAGGTTTTTTAATTATTTTAATTATTAAAATAATGAGATTCTCTCCTCTGTGCACTTTCACTCAGCCAATGTCCTCTGAGTTCTAAAGATGCTGGTGGTTTAATGCGCAGTCCAGCTGCCAGACTTAAAACTGTATGGCGCTCTGGGCCTATATACAGCCACCTATCACAATATGAGCCAGGGTGAATGAAATATGTTGGCGTCTCCCATGCTTTCTCTCTAATCCTCCCCGTTAGTTGGTAGCCACTTACTGGCCCAGCTTCATCACTACTGAACGGAGTTCCTTATTCAAGCAGTTAATGATCAGAAGTGATGAATGGCTTCAGATATATGTAGAAGGATAAGGAAGAGGAGGGAGTGAATTCAAAGGAGCTCAGATTTGAAACTCAGAAGTAGGGAGGGTTTATTCATGAGGACCCTTATAACTTCTGCTTCCCTTTTTCTTCCCTTTCCACATTGTTGATGACGGCCTCGCAGTTCCTGACGATTTGGCTTACTGTTGTGACTAACAAAGACGATGCAGCAGTACTATAAGGAAGAGTCAAAACTGGCACTATGGGATGTCGCCTTCATTTAAAGTCTGCTCTTCATTTTCAGTCACTTGACCTGAGTGGTCATTGCTCCGGCTACTGCTGTGTTGCTTGTGGAGCAAACTCCTCCACTTGGCCTTGTTCCTCCTGAGATGGCTTAGCATATTTTCGGATAGGGGAGTGTCTCCTGTAAACCTGGCCCATTCCTCAAAGAGCGGCTCTACGATGTAGGTCATGAAACCTGGGGAAACACAAGACAAGACATGTAAGGAGCAGTAGCTTTCACCAAATGCCTTTCCCTGCAGTTTGGGTCGTTAAAGTGCAGTGAACAAAGTCACAGAACCCCAGAGACAAGTAACAAATAAGCCTCTAACTCACACCCTTAAACTGATGGTTATGGAATATGTATCCCCCAGGGCCATTGCAAAGTCAGATTGGCTGGCTCTGTCCGTATAATAATTGAAACCTGTATAAGACAGCACCCTTTTCAGGTAACCTCCTGTCCTGAAATCTCTCTAAAATATTCTCTCACTTACTGTGTACAATTCTACTCTACCTATATTAGACTTTTTTTAAGCAGCTGATTTTTATCCTTCCCTTGAATGGTTGCTCAAGATAGGTTTCATTGTATGTGTGTCTGTATATACCATGTGAATCATGACTCTTATGGTCTACTTCTGAGCTGTACATTAATGGAGTTATTTACAAAGCTTAGTCCAAGTGCAAATCCCTGAGTCAAAAATGAACTTATACTCTTATTTGGAAAGAGCTGCAGCAGCACAATTAATGTTTTGGGTTTTGGTTCTGTTTAGTCAGAGGCTGTGGGTTTTTGTAACATAAACTGGATTAAAAGGTCACAGAATGGCCCTTTTGTGTATGGCAGTGTGCATGCCAGGATAGTGGGCTAGAGCTGTATGTTGGTCTATAACATGGAAATGATCTAGTATCTCTGAATGTTGGGAAGGTACGGTATCATTTTTCGAACCTGTGGATAGAGGGAGGGATTTTATCATCCACATCACTTTTCACCCTGCAGCAGCTATGGTAGCAAAAGTGTGCACAGGCACAGTGAATATTTTAATTACATCTCTAACTGAGGAGGATTTAATACTTTTTTATATGACCAAAATCACTTTTGATGGAAGAGAAAACAAATGAAGGCCATGACTGCAGTTTGATCTCAAAAGCAGGCTGTTCAACTAAAGTTCTGCTTTCAGTTTCTCCTGAAGCTATTGATTGCACTGGTTGTGTAATAATGCAGCATAGGAGATGTTTATAAATTTGCACTGCTGACTGGGAGACCCACTGCAGATTAAAAGAATTTTGTAAATAAATGAACCAACACAATGCAAGCATAATGCATCATAAAATGTACTCTGTTCATCAGACATAGTTAGTTTACTTTTACAAAATGGAACATTTACTACAATTCAGAAGTATAACACATATCACCAATCAAGTCTTAATATTCTAATGAGACCACGCTATAGCACTTTCCTGTTCAATCTTAGCTGAGAAACAAGGTGAAACAACCATATTGTGTGAAGTAGTGCTGATCAGAGATGTTTTGCTGTATTTTAAAAAGATATCAATATATCTTTTTTGTTTTTTTATTATATTTACTCATTTTCACAGTAAGTGGCATTCTGGAATATTAATTTATATATAATTCAGTAAACTATGTATATACGTATACTTTTGAGTTCCTTGCTTATATATTTCTGCCAATACTGTATTACTTCCCTCATTTATCTTCACAAACTTAATCTGAGAAGAAATCGGAGCCTCTTAAAAAAAGGCTCTAATTTTCACTGAAACAAGAAAAATAAAGGTAGTTAGCACCTGGCCCAAAACAGCTTCAGACATTTATTACTCCTCATAACACACATATGAATAGTTATGGTTATCCTTGCCTTACAAGTAGGGAAACTGAGGCCCAAGAAGGTCAAAGGTCAGAAAAGGAGAGTGTCAAATCTAGAATTAGAACCTGGGTTTTCTGACTCCTGGTTCCTTGCTTTCTGGCATCTGGTGGCTTTCTCAGAGGTTTGCGTCTCACACATATGGTAAGAGAGAACCACCGTAAGGAAAAAGTGAAGCAATGTTTTGGACAAGCAAACCTATTTGCCTGAATGTTGCTATTGATATATAATCCCAATCTCACGAAGGTAATAACTCCTGATATGTACATTGGGAAAGGGCTGGTACAATTAAAATCATTGCTGTGTGTCAGTGCCTGCTGGAACCAACGGTGCTATTAGGTGTATGGTCTGAACCCAACCATGTGAAGAGCTGAATGTCCCTTGGTTTTTCTAGCATTGCCTTATTTAGCCACTGCTAACATAATTATTTGTATTCCCTATGTGAATCTCACAGTCTAGAAAGGTCTGTTTCAATTTCACTCTTTGTGAAATCTGTTACTAATGCTGCTGCTCCGTAGGAAAAGATTATTCCAAAGTAATGTTTCATATCAGCTAAGATGAACTTGATCTCAGTGGTGGAGTGAATCAGAATTGCCCAACTCAAAGCAATTACAAAGGGAGATTCAAAACCATCAGTTATTTACTATCATGTTTTTCAACTTGTTTCCAGCTCATGTGTTTCATGGCTTGGAGTAGGGGAGAAGGAGCAAACAAAATGTAAAGAACACAATTCTTCAATGGTGAATGTTTGGCACAGTATCTGAAAGGTTACACAACTGCTCAGTCATGCACATTGTCTGAAACGAGGTGCATTTTGAAAACACTGAGTAAAAATAAACCATTGGGCTGTTTGGGTGGTCTACAAAGAGTGCACTGGAGCCTGAGCTTAACCTTCAGCCCACTTTCTGGGATGGGAGGGCTGTGGAGGCAGCAAATTCAGTTCTTGTGGCAGAGGGAAAGCCTGTGCCACTTTGGATGGATCCGCTCCTGTCCCCCTGCTGCTCAGTGCACTGCAGCCTGCTAGTCTTGGCAGACCATGGTTGGTTGCAGTGTGAGAACTTGGAGGAAGAAGGAAAGGAGGAAAGTCAGGACTCTAGAGAACTCATGGAAAACAATGAATGATTCATTCAGAGTCCTTTGGAAACCATTTTCCACTGGCTCGCTAACTAGATTACATGCCCATTGCAGCATGAGTACTGCATTATGGAGTATTTAGTGGGGATTTTTGTGGGAGGTCGGAATGGGAAGCAGGATTTGAGTTAGTTTAACTGGGAGGCACTAAATAGGTAAAAGGTTTCATGAAACCCTTTACTTCACTCAGGACTATCACAGCAAACAAGTGGCATATTCCACTAAGTGGGATAATGCTGCAGCTGTCTGAACTGCTCTTTGAGGACCATTCATCCTTGCGTGCTGCCACTGTGTCACTCCTTTGCTTGTTTACATTACGGCTGCACTCAGCCTTGCTCTTGGTTTATCTGGCCTGCTTGGCAAATGGGTTTTATTTTCATCCAATGTTAATCCTGGGGTTATTGAAGTTTTTGGTATAAAACTACACATCTATCTTCTGCTTAGCTTGTGTTGCACTTTCAGGGTGGAGGGGGGGGAGGAGAAAGAGACAAAAGAATGAAAGTTAAGCTCACCAATTTGTATACTAGGTATGGAGTCCTTCTGCTGATTACAAAGAGGGCTTATTTCCAATTCAAATTTTTGTTCCAGATCACCTACCAAAAAGAAAGGAGAAAAACATTTTTGCCACTTGGCAATATTGAATATGATCTGTTATTCCTTATAATATGGATGGAACAGCAAATCCTAGGAGAATTAACCCTTACATTTCATCTCCATTTGATGCCCTGATGGACATCACCGTTTTAAAGATAGACTGCAAGTCTCAACATGATCATACAATGGTTCCACATAGAAATCTGAGGCAGGGCCTGTTATACATGCCTAAACAAATAAAACCAACAATTTAAGATGTCACAGGAAATGACTGTAAGCAGGATGATCCTCTGGTTCACAGAAATCAGAGTGGAATGTATCTCAATCCATGACCTGCCGAGACAGCTGTACTCTCTGGGACAACACAGCTAAGAAAACCCAGGATGAAGTATATGAGAGTTCGAAATGCTAGCAGTGGTATAAGCACTAGTGTGGATTGGGCTTGAGCGTTTTTACCACCATGTGATGACTACTCTGGTGTGAAACTGCCTATAAAGGCCAGCTATTGCTGACAACCATGCTCAGTTCTGGTTTAAATTTGTAGTGTGGACATGAAATGTCAATAAATTCAGTACGCCAGAGCACTACGCTTGCTCTTCTACCATCTTCATCCCTTCCTTTAGGCTCTGTTAATACTACTAAGAAAAGATTTAACAGTGATTAAATTCCACTACATCCTCACTGTGTTGTAGCACAATCTGGCCTGGCCTGTGCAGATGGAGCCAAATGGTATGTCGTTACCATGTTAAAAACCATGTTTAGCTTTGCTCTTAGTAGGGGTTAGAAAATGTTTACAGTTAGGCCCCCTAGATTGCGTTAGAACTTGGCTTAGTGGTGAGCATGTTCAGACTGTCTGGTTTCCCTGCAACTGTAAGTAGAGGAGAAGGAAAAAGCAAATGTAACACTCTAAGGGTAGGAACTGTAGTTATATTTTGGAAAGCAAAGGAAAACAAGTGATGGCTGTGTAATTTCTGAGCAGTACATACCCATGGGAGTTTCAGCTCAGAGTGGATAACAATGACCAGAGATTTTGTACAGTTAATTAAAGGTTCAAGGCACAGCAGAACCACCCTCACTGACACCGTCTTACAGGGGCAATCAGATCAAAGAAATACCCGCTTTTCTTCTATTTCATTTCCTCTTCTTGCCCCTCACTACCAACCACATGCAAAATAAGGCCACATTTCTGCTCGTCATCATATTTTTGGGGAGATTTCAGAGGGGAATTGGGTAGTTGATGGCAGAGCAAACGCCACTTGAGATTAGCCAATTTCTCTCTTATCACATTAAGTACCTTAAAGAACAAAGTGAAAGGAGAATTCAGTATGTCAGAGGGCTGACCTTGCCGGTAGAATTCCTCACAGACCCTTTCACTCCACTGCTTGCTCATCTGCCAGAGCCGGCAAGGATTGCAAATGTCAGCACACTTCAGCGCGATCTGAAAGTAAAGGAGGAGAGTGGTGGTGGGGAGAAGAAATGATTAGCTAGCAATCGTTCAGCAGTGAATTTATTGCACTCTGAGGTGCCATGAAACTGCTGGGCCCTGCAAGCGTGCTGCCAAGATGGATTCAAGAGTACATTATAGAAACTGAGCCCTGCCCAAATGTGCCGCTTCAGGAAACAGCACTTATTCAAGCCTGTAACAAAACCTTCATTCAGAGCCCCATTTTATAGTAGCGAGAACGAGAGAAGCACCACATTCCAAGTGTGCACAGCCTCTTGGATATGACTGGTGGTGGGCAAGCCAACAAAAGCTTCAGGCTGACTCCTGCTGACTGCCTGCCTTGGCATCCATCAATGAGGACAAGGAAATGAAGAGCCAAGCCAGTGTGAAACTATTTGGGCATCACTTCTTTATGGTGTCAGTGAGTGACCTTACATATCACTTTGATTGTGCTTGGGTTTAATATGTGTATACAGTCAGCTCAGAGGGATCAGCTGTGTTTTTGTTTACTGAGCTAAGCATAGGACCTTGTGGTTTGCCCCTGACTTGTTTTTACCTTGCTAACAGTTGAAAGTGCTTTGCTGAGGTAGAGCTGGGGTAGGACTGGCAAGGGAAGGAATTATAATCAAGTAGCTGCTGCTTCTTCAGAAGAGTAAGATATGCAATAATCTGCCTGTCTTGCCTCCTTGAAACAAAATGTCTTCTGTGTGCTTTCTTCCTGGACAAAGTACATCTAGTTGATGGATTTATTATTAGACTTCATGACAGATAGGGCAAAATGCTGGTGCAGATGCCAAAGGCATAGGGATCGCAGATTTCACCTATGGTAAAGGTCATTACCTCCTTTCTAGAAAATAAATGGAGGTGGAGAAAGGGTGCAACTTACTTGGTGGGCACCGTGGACTCTAGTTATTTAGACATGGGACTAGAAGTCAAGAGACCTGCATTCTAATTCTGGCTGGACACTAACTAGCTTTGTGACCATAAGAAAATCACTTATGTTCTCTGAGCCTCAGTTTCCTCATCTGTAAAATGGGTATAAAGAAGTAAACTACTAAAGCATGTTTTATAAGTAATATTGAGGCCAGTCAGTTTAATCCAAGAGCCCTTGAGGAAGTGGTAGCACCCTCCCCCAATTCACAAGTATGAATTTTCACAGGAAAGAACAGTTGTTTCATGTTTTCCCCACTGGAACCAATGCTGCATTTTGCACCATCAATTTGCCTGATCTGTCGTGAAGCATGATTACAAACCCATTGCCTAAATGTAGTGGTCCATGAAGAAACCAGGCCTAAGACATTTTGTTCAAGGAGGCAAGATAGGCAAACTAGTTCATATATTACTCTTCTGAAGGAGTAGTTACCTGAATATCATTCCTTCCCTCACCCGACCCCAGCAGTACCTCAGCAAAGCATTTTAAGCTGGCAGCAATTAGAGTTTGTTTTTAACTGATGATAATTACTTGAGGTGTTTTGTATGATAAAAGCTATTTAGGAGCTATTTAAGAGCAGGCAGCTTCGTGTGGTGCTATTTCTACAGAAAAAATGCAGCGTACAGCTACCTTTAGGTTAATAGTGAAGGTGATGTAATGGGTGGAAATTTGTTCTGAAGATACCATTAACTACTGCAGTATAGCTGGAAGAAGCAATTTGAGTCCATTTGATTTTAAATTAGATTTGGTTCTTTCATTATCTGGGGAAGAACTGCCACGGCAGTGGTTTCCTCCATGCAGATGGAGATTAGGAGCATCAACGAAGTGACCACTGCTCGGGCACCTACTGCCAACTCCTCTGTGAAAAAGCATTGTCAGTGGCTGGAGTAAGAGGCCGAGCTTCCTACCTTCTGCTGAAGTAGCAGTTGCCATGACAGGCAGGAGCGCCGCCAGCTTTTTTGCCGCCCTAGGCAGCGGAAGGTCCCGCACCTGAAATGCCACCCCCGACAGAGGCGGCGGAAGGTCCAGCCCCCAAAATACCACCGACGACCGGGGCGGCTGAAGATCCGGCCGCCCCCCAAATGTTAGCGCCCTAGGTGACCACCTAGGTCGCCTAATGGGTTGCGCTGGCCCTGATGACAGGGGAAATAGTCAAGGGGAGAGAGACGTGGCAAGAGACAAAGTGGCCTGCAACTCAAGAGGTGAATAATAGTTGATCCTTTGCCGCATCTGCTATATTCGGATTATAACGTAACACCTGGTATATTGGGAAGTACTGGAGGTATGTTTTTGCTTGCTTTGAAACATGTTAGGTGACAGCAGCAAAGCAATTAAGATGGCGGGTAAAGGGTACCCTGAGGCTGAGCTAACATACATACACTGTTCCTTTAAGGGGAAAAAAAAAGTACCTGCAGCATAAAATGTCTGTCTGGTGCATCCTCCAATCTCAGATCCTTATTTTCGAGGTGAGCTTTCAACCGGCTCAAAAACTCATTCTGTCTATTGATGTCTGTTGCCAAGATGAGGGAACCCAGCTGCTGTTCGATATCCTGGCTGTAGGCAAGAAAAATGAGCCCTTTTGAATATGGGATTGTTGAACATCAATGGTTTTAAACCACTTCATAGTCTGCCTCCTTCTGAGTATTATGTGATGACTCCAGCTAGCAGACAGATTCCACTTCATTGTTCTCCATTGGGATAGCTTGCAGGAGACCAGCAGTTTAGCTGGCAATGGGATGTATGTGGAATAGGCAGTGTGGCAGAATAATCATGTTGCTGTAAATTGCCCAGGGAGCTTCCATAAAGTATTGTGAAGAATGCAAACTAAACAGCAGGATGTGTTATTGGGTGAACACGAAAGGCATCTAGAAGAATTAATGTCATAGGGTTTTAGATTGGCAGCCACACAAACGCCAAGGCATTGTACATTATTTCTTTAAAGAAGGACTGAGAAGAAGGGGATTGGATGATTTAGGAAATTACTAATGGGATAGAAAGCCTGTCCTTTCTATATAATCTGTTTGTATTCTTCCCAAGTCACCAGTGATTAAAACGTAACACTGGAGAGCTGCTTGGTGGTTCGTGTGAAAAATGCGTCTCCATACATTTCCCAAGGATCAATACTGTGCACACGTACACACAAACAACTGCAGGAAAAACCAACACACTACGGTCAGCTCTGCCTACATTCAGTCTCTGTTCTTTCTGCTGACTTTGCTATCTCTCTCTGCTCAGAGACAGTCAGATTTGAAGCACATTCTTCTGGTAGTGTGGGAGACACCTAGGGCACATCGACACTAGCGATGTCTTCTATTTCCCACCATTGAGAATACTAACGCTGAGCAGGTTTAATTGATATGGTGTAAAAAAAACAACAACCCACAATGGGTGGCCATCGGTGCCTTCTCAGCATTGGGACTGCTAACAATGCTAATATTGGTGCAGCTGAGCAAGTATTAGCAACAGTGACAAACTTTTAGGTAATATTCCTAGTGAAGCCCCAGCCCAGGTGCATCCCACGCTACCAGGCCAATGTGCTTTACATCACCTTCAGGAGCGGGTGAGACACTAGCTCAGCCTACAATCAGCCTTTGGCCTCTCTGCTTATGGTTTTTAATCAAGCAATGAAATAGGCCATTGGTTTGTTCTCCATGGAATTTATCAGCATGTTTCACATGAGTGGTACTTACGTCATTTCCTTTGGTAGATGGGCAAGGAGCCTTGATTCTCGAAGCATGCCTATTGTTGATCTCCAGTGATGATTTTCTAACACAGAGACATTCTGAGGAGGAAGGAGGTAAGGAAATAAAAAGACATAGATTTCTTACATTTAACAGAGATGCGTAAGATTTGCCAGACCTTATAAGTGATCCATCTAATCAGGTTTCCTGCCGCTACCAGTGGACAACACCTGATACTGCAGCCAAAGACCCCAAATCCCATGAAGTGCCTAGGTAACTTAAATGCTATAGGTATGCCAAACATCAGGCAATCAGGTCATGCCAGGATTCAGAGGTCTTCCTACTGCTGAGTACCTCAAACACACTATTATTTTTGAGACCTTGGCATGCACTAAGGGAACTTTAAAAAATTCACAACACCATTTGTTTATTAAATAGTTGCAAAGAAACAAATAGTACAGATGAGCCGTTAAATTCATTTTTCACAGTGTTTTAGTAACATCATAAGTGATGTATCTGTCCCTTCTATTTTTGTTCCTTTTTTTGTTCAGTTTCCATCTTTTCTCTTCTCTTTCTCCCCTGCTCTCTTGTTTCTCTCTCTTTTTCACTCCAGAATATGCCTCCCTTTCCTATTTCTTTGCCTCTCTATGCCCATCATGCTATGCTGCACCTATTAGCCTGCTCTGCTTAGAATTTGCTCTTTTTCCTAGTATCTTGTTCTGCTCAGACCATCCTTACATCTTTTCCTCCCCCCATGTTCAATTAAACAAAAAAGCAACAAAATTTAGAACTGATAAAAGGAAATACTTTCTTTTGCAACACAAATTAGGCTGTGGAACTCATTGTCACAAGATATTACTCAGGCCAAAAGCTGAGCAGATTTAAAAAAAGAATGGGAAAATATACATGGATAGCATACAGATCCAGAGATGCTAAAGGTAAGATTAAAACACACCCAGAAAAGTTTTGGATGAGATATAAGGCCTCATATTTCAGGACATGAACTAGTTTTTAATTACTGAGGATTAGGAAAATAGCTTTCCTTGTGGACAAGTTATTGCCTATTACAGCTTATTGCACCTTCTTCTAAAATATTGGGTAGCGGCTACCGTGGGAGACAAGATATGAGGCCCATAGGTCTGATACAGGATAGCAGTTCCTTTGCAAATGGAACCTCAACGTGAAATTGACAAGATACCTTGTCAGCATCACTTTTCTCTGTTCCCAGGTGAGGCTGAGACTCAAAATGAAACTGTCAAAAGAGCCAGTCAGTTTCATATTGAGGTTTCACTCACACGTGGAGTTGGAGCAGTTGGAAGGAAAGAGGCAAAAGTGAGAGCCCACAGAGCTTTGCATTCCACTTGCTGGGCTTACCATAGCTGTAGCCCCTCCTCCCAACCAGCTTGTGCCACATATCTTGAAGTTTAATTGCCCTGATTGATACAGTTTGCATCATTCAGAGATTCTACGAAAATACGACATGCAAAATAATACATAACAGCAAACTGACTACACTACGCCATCTGAGGTTAATACTGGTGTCAGACAAGGATCTCTTGTGTAACCCATGATCCTTTTACTGGTAGTAGATTGGGTAATGAGAGGGACCACAGAACAACCAAGGGGCATACAATGGACTTTCACAAAGAAGTTAGAAGACCTTGAGATATCTATAATGACTCCCAAGTCTTTTTCCTCTGAGGAGCTCATGGATTTGGGGAGTATGGCTTTTAATGCAAATTTCAGATTACTTTTGACACTGTATATTACTGTTTATTTAGCCAAATTAAATGTTATCCATGCTCTTGCTGCCCAATTACCTAATGTATTTAAATACATCAGGACTGTCTCTTATAGTCCTATAGCTTTGACTACCCAAAATAATTGAGTCTAAGCAGGAATTTTCACCTATGAAATTCTATGAGCAAGGCAGAGGACAGGTGTGATGGGAGCCTGTGCTGCTGAGCAGATGCGCTGCAGTGTTTTGTACTAGTTGGAGTTTCCTAAGAGCTGAAGGCTTCATGCCCAGGTATATTGTATTGCTGTAATCCAGCTAAGAGGTGACAAAGGAATTCTACTAAGACCAGATCTTCATTGGCCAGGATGGGATTTACTGTCTCTTAAAGTCCCTTCTGCAGGGCCGCTGTGGATGCCATTGCCTCCTGTGTGGCTCTCTGTGCCATGCCCTTTACCTCAGTGCAACAGAATCACATTGAATTTGCTCTGATTGGGGCCTTCTGTGGCTCTCACTTAGGCTTTGTCTACACTGCCAATGGAAAGACAAAACTTTTATCGTTCACAGGTGCTTAAAAAAGCCTCCCCCCGAAAGACAAAAGTTTTGCCGCAGCAAGTGGCAGTGTAAATGGCTCGTTGTCGGCAGGAGCGCTCTCCTGTCCACAACGCGAACCCCACTTGTACGGGGTGGAAGTATTTTGCTGGCAAAAGTGCCGACAAACCGCATTTACACTGCCCGACTTTTAGCGACACGGCCGTACTAAAAGCTGTGTAGTATAGATAAAGCCGTAGACTGGAGGATTTAGTCCGCGGTAACATATGTTTGTTAATAACGCCGGTAATGACTTCTGGACCTCTCCACTATTAATCTGTCTCCATTCTGGGGAACAGTCAGTCACCATTATTACTTTGCTATTGCTTAACCAGTTTGGAATCTGCCCTGATAAGACTTTCCTCCATGCTTAGTTGTTTTCCCGCAGTCTCTCCAAGAATATACCTTCTTAAAAGCTTTTAGAAAATCTATCTAAATGATGCCCACTGGGTCACCTTCATCTATTACTTTTACTTTTTAGAGGCACTCATTTCCCTTACAGAAGCCAGGTTGATTTTGACACGGTCTGGTAACATTGTCTATTACTATTATTATTTATTTGTATTACTATAATGCCTAGGAGCCCTAGTCATGGGCCAGAACCTCATTGTGATAGGTGCTGTACAAACACAGAACAAAAAAGGTATTCCCTGCCTCAAACGGTTTACAGTCTAAGTCTAAGACCAGAGCCCAACAGATGGGTGAGTACAGACAGACCAGCTGGGGAGTACAGGGAAACAATGAGACAATGTTGTCTAAATAGACAAGACAGACACAGGATAGGGAAATGGTGAAAACAAACAACCAGTGTGAACAATGTGATGGCAACAAAGATCATGTTAGTGCCATGATTTTGTTTGTTTTTGTTTTTTGGGAGGGGTTAGTTAGGGGATCAGCTAAATAGAAAGAAAAGGGAAAAGTGTGGGAGGGATGGGGCAGGGGAGGAGAGCATAGAAGGGGCAGGTATGGAGTGAAGCTGAAGTGAAGAGATTGCTCCAACCCTCCTGGCTCCTCCTCATGAACAGTCAATCAGCGCAGGGCAAAGAAAGTCAGAGAACATTCTGCAGTTTCAGATGGAGTGTCCAAAGGTCCCTGTTTTGTCTGCTTCTGGTCCTGTTGGCTGGGATCTCTGGATGGCTGCTTTATATTAAATATATTACTTTATCCTTAGACTTTCAGTCAGCTTTCCTGGAGAGCACCAGATTGGTAATTCCTGGGATCTCCGGCTAGTGACTCAGTCAGTCATGGAAGGCTATGGTGGAATTAACACAATGCCCTTGGGGTCGTTTAGGTAAGAGAGAATTCAGACATCTTTTAGGGTGCGTTTTTAAGCTGATGGTGAGAAATAAGGAGTCAGATGGAGATGAAGCATAACTGAGAGAAACTGTTTGTTTATAGCTCCAGAGAGGTGGTTATGGGAATGTGTTTAGAGACCTGAAATTCTAAGAGCACGCACTTCCTGGAAGGAAGCCTGGCATTCTAGCATGCAGGTCTCCTACAGAAAGCATTGGGAGGGAACATGTCCCGAAGGATAAAACAAAGATGTGTGAGAAGGATCACACCTGGATGGACAAGACATATATGCAAGCATGGAAGAAACAAGGAGGTAATTTCAGGGCAAATTTGTTTTTCCAAGTTTCTGGTATTTAAGCTACTGTTCTTCATTTCTTATGCAGTGCTCCTGGGGATGCTTATTTACACATCTTTATCTCATTCCTTTGACTTTGCTGTCAGTGTATATAAATAAATTACACACATAAGGGACAGTTTCAATGAATGAACAGCCATTCAATGTTTTGTTTTATCCTCGTTGTTCAATGCGTGACTCTAGACCTTAATTACTGTACAGTACTCAAATCCTGCTCTGAAGACAGAATTATTAATTTAGTCATGAACTTTTCTCTGGTGCTCCTCACTATAGTATCTGAGTGCTTCAAAAATCTTTTTCTTTTTCTTTCTTTCTTTCCTTCCATAATATTCCTGTCAGACGAGGAGGTGGTATTAGCCCCATTTTACAGATGGGGAACTGTAGGACAGAGAGATTAAAGTTAGAAATATTCATTCATTTTGAGTACCTAATTTGAGAAGTCTAGGACCTGATTTTTCTCTGTACTTGGGATTATATAGCCCTTTACAGCTCTTGTGAGTGCTCAGTATTTCTGTAAAACATACCCCAGGGTTTGAAGTTGGGTACCCAGAAAATGAGGAACACATAATTAGTGATCACCTGTGCAAAGTTTGGTTAGGTGATTTGCCCACCACCACACAGGAACTCTGTGGCAGAGGCAGGGATATAATCCAGTTCCCCAGGGCAGCATTTAACTGCTTTAAGCATGAGACCAGCCTTTCTCTTCCTGAAGTCCCCTGCCTCATTCACTACACACCTTTCAACTTCTGCAACAAATGAGGCAGACAAAAGACCTACAGCCAAAAGTCTTAATTGGATCTCAATCTTCACCTCCATCCAAATGGCTCTCAGTCTCTTCTCCACATTCCTCATTGACTTCCCATACCTGGTTTTCCTGCACAGCAAGTCCAGTCTCCCCATCATATCAGCTTCATCTCCCCGCCAAGCAGGCTCCCTGGTGCAGTCTACTCCTTCTGCCACCTCCATCAAGGTTCTATGTGCACCAATCTAATGTACTGATGTGTGTGGCTCTTAGTGTGTGAAATTCATTTCAAGCACACAAAGGTAGAGGTACTATGGAGGGGAAGAGCAAAATCCACCCCCCAAGTTCAGAGGCAGGGTGCAGGGCTGCAGTGCCGCTCCCAGCA